AGTTTGTCTAACAAAAAAGCAGCGAGTTCTTTCTGCCAAGTACCTATTTCCGAATTTCTTCTGCCAAACACCTATTTCCGAGTTCTTTCTGCCAAGTACCTATTTCTTTTGAGTGACTATGTCAGTGGATGAAAAAAAAAACTTGCTCCTGGCGTGGTGCCAACCATATTTGAAGGATACCCATCGTACCTAGTGCCCCCTGCAAAGAAACCACGCAAAGAATCGAAAGCTCGAGACTGCTCCTTCAAGCAAACTGACGAAACGAAAGGCAGAGCCAGAATATCATGAGCATGCTGTTTTGGAGTCGTCGGAAGGAGAAGCCGAACCGAAATTCAGTAAATGCACCCAAACAAATAACCATGCACAGCGAGTCATTGGACACATTTCAATGATAGCAAGGCTTCAGTCACAAGTAGCGTACCATCGCTCCACTTGCCGGAAAACCAAGCGGCAGCTAGAAGACACGATAAAGGTGGCCAACTTTTACCATAGTAAGAAGCACCATTTGTCACTGACAAAGATTTCCGCGGATGCTGAAAAAGGAGAGAAAAAAGCTGTCTTTCTGCTTCACCAAATAAAGAGCTACCGGAAGGTTCAACGTTACCCCAAAGAAATCGTCAGAGGGTGTGTAACATGGCGCTTTCTTTCACCCAAAGGCTATGATCATGCATGAGCTCAGCTTCTGATACTACCACATAAATGCACACTGCAGCGATACGTCGGTCCCAGCTCATCGTCCTCGGGTATGAGTAGTGCAATGAAGGAAAAACTGATTCACGAGGCTTCTCTCCTCAGCCACAAGCAGCACATGGATTCATTAATAATTGATGAGGCTTCAATAAAGCCAAAGTGCATATACGACCGTAAGTCTGATGCAATATTCGGCATCAGAGACAAGCCAGAAAACATTGCTTCGTGCAGCACGAACGAAAGTTGTCCTAACAGAGTGCTTTGCTTTGTGCTTCATGGAATAACAACTTCGTACAAAATCCCATGTTCCTATTATTTTCGAAGCAGCTCGGAGGAGAGACTTGTTTGCCTGGACGAAAGACGTCATTGCAGCAGTTGAGGACTATGGGTTTGTGATCATCCGCATTGTTTCAGATAACTACTCTGCGAACACAACCATGTTCAAACTGATGGGAAACGGTTCCTTGTCAACGGGTAATTTTTTAAAGTTTCGATCTTTGCCATGTTCTCAAAAATGTGCGAAGTCAATTTTTGGAGTGTGAATTCTCAGATGGCACAGGCCTCATTACTGGCACATTCGTGCAAAAGCTATATGAGCACCAAAAGCGAATGTCTGTGAAACTGGCGAAGAACCTCACTAGAAAGCATGTATACCCATCTAACCTGGAAAAGATGAATGTAATGCGTGCAGTGCAGTACTCTCGCTCCATGTGATTGGCACACTGGAACATCTGCGAAACTTGCGGGACAACTCCTCTCTTGCTCTATTCAAGGATGCAGCATCCACAATCAACTTCATGAAAGCCATAAAGAGATGGTTTGACATTCACAACACTACGTACAGTGGTAATGGCTGCAAACTTCCCATCTCGAAGCAGGACGACAGCCAATTGCTGTGGCTGGAAAGTGAATTTTAAGGCTACATTAAGCACATCCAGGATTCTTTTGTCGCTGCTGGTGTTGGGAACTTTACAGGCGAGACGTAGACTGCCCTGCTTTTCACCACAAAGTTCTCAGTCCACGATTTCTTCTGAGAAAAGGAGTAAACTATGTGCTCACGAAGAAATTTAACAGTGATCCTATAGAGGCATTATTTGGAAAACTTAGGGCAATGTGCGGGGGCAATGACGCGCTAGACGCAAGAGCCGTCACAGCGGCTTTGACCCACATTGTCAAGGAAAAAGCGCCACCGTCAAAAGACACGGGCATTCGCGACGAAAACATTGAAGAAGCAGCGGTGTCTATTCCAGAAGATGCTATTGAGGAACTTGAAGCTCTGCGAGAACCTCCTCGCAGACCACCGACATCAGTCGCCTATTCAGGCTTGGTGTATGTAGGTGGTTACATTGCCAAGCTCATCAGTGATGTCAGTTGCGAAGCTTGTGCCATGCTAGTGACGACAAATAAAACTAGCAGTCCTTTGTACCAACTTCTCTGTCAGCAAGAAGCCTATGATCTACACTACCCGAAACCGGAGTTACTATCAATGCTGGACACAATTGTGACGTTCTTCGAGAAAGCAGTCAAATATCTTCCTCTAACGAAGATCCTCGAGACTCTGCAATTGACTGTTGAGCCATACCTTGAAGATTCGCCACTTCTCGACTGTCCGGAAGGTGTGGACACGAGTCATGCTAGAGTGCTGGCTCATATTATTTCTGAAAAGTTTTTCCGGATTCTTCTAGTAAACTACACAAAAAGATTAACAGATCAGAATGACAGGCCTTTTGGTTTCATTCACAAGCCCTACCAGAAGCATTTCAGGCTGTGACAGATGTGACTACTTTAAACTGTGATTGTCACTACAGTGTTTTACCAGCAGTGCTTTTTTTTTCAGTTCTCCATGTGCGTATTGTTGCAGTACCAAGGAGAACATTCCGTTTGCCATTGAAAGGATTCTCTGAATGTTTTTTTTTATGTTTACTTTTCGTTTCCAGTGTGACCATCCCCATTATGCAGTGACTTTCACCTTTCGGAAGTATTCATTTCAATATTAAAGCACGACTTGGGATGCCTTCAACAAAAAATTTACAATTTTGCTATTTTCAAGTACAGCGACAGCCGGCATGTGCATTTGAAATAAACATTTCCAAAACCATAACTAAACCGTTTGCTCAATCAAGTGCAATATTCATCCTCTTACTTATTCTCGAAGTTAGAGGAAACTAAACAAAAGGCTTTGTGATAACTGGGTCGATGCTCTGCTGAGCAACAGAAGCGGTCGTATGAGCGGCCTGCGCCACCACTTTTGAAGAGCGGAATTGACCAAAGTCATCATATATACTTGCTGCCATGTTTATATCGCATTGGTATCATGAATACCACCTGGAGTAACTTCAGAAAGTGCCACGGTAAGTCGGAAGCCAAGCGCTCCCTGCGCGCGCTAGCCTCCACAACGGCCGGGAGCGGGTTGGCTCGGCATGACGTAGTGGAGGGCTCCGGAAATTTCGGTCATGCAGTGGTCTGTAACAGCATTGACATTGCACAGTACCTAGGTCTGTAGCCTTTTGCCGCTATCGTAATACAACCGCTGTGGCCGGGAGTAAACCCGTGCCCTTTGGGTCAGCAGCCGAGCGCCATAACCACCACACCACTGCTGCCGACTGTTTACACGAACTGAAGTGGAAACAACGACATAACCCCAACAGACATTCACAACGACCATTTCAGTTGGCACTCCCTTTCAAACAGTCTTGCAAGGGATACTTAAGTGAAACCACAGCAATGTAAATTTCAGGTGTCGAGCAAAATTTCCCAACACCTCATATAAGTATTATCTAAAAAAAGATAAATAAAAAGTGAATTTCACTTGCTGCTGAAAAAAGTCAGTTCTGCTGCAAGGGTGAAGCAATAAATGCACCTAATAGTAGCACTAAATTGGAATGTCATACGAAGTAGAGCTAGCAGCAAACTCCTTTAGAATCTGATCTGGCTTAACTCAAAAAACGCAAGCGTAAAAGAATATGGCCACTCCAGGGAGTGAAAGGGTTTTTATGCTATCTTTATTAGTGCTTCAACAAAAAGTAAGTGATGTGATAACGGCAGCTACAAAGCTGTGAGGTGTCTACTAATCTCTATAAGCATAGTATGCGTGCAAGTGCAGACTGTGCCCTTTTGATCAAGTTCCCAGTTGCCAAGTATATGACTGAGTATATCTAATCTGACCATGACTGAGTATCAAATCCTCGACCTCATGCACAGCAGCTCAAGATGTAGCCGCTTCAGTGTAAATGTTACGACTACAATTTCGTACATAGATATCGATACCATGCAGGCATTTCTACAAACACAAGTCCCTTACAACATGAAGTACATCGTTTCAGCCTCGTGAAAATGTACAGCCGTGGCCACGTGTGTAGAGCCCGCGAGCAGCCGGTTTTCGCTCTGCAGGGCGAAACCTTGAAGCAGTATCGGGCTCGACGTGGTCAGCCTGACAAATAGGCGGCAGATACTCCTGATGCACCACTTCTGAACAAGCAAATGACCATATGTTAACCCATATTCCCTTCAGCCACAATGTGCACACTTGTACACATCAACACCAGAGACACGTCAAATCACACACTGTGTGCTTCTTCAAATCACCTGAAACTCAGTGTACACATTCATGCAGGCTTCCCGAGTTGACAACTCACCGTCATTTTTTTCATTGTGCGGCATATTGCGGCACAGGATTACTTTGCTGGAAATGGTGCCCTGTTCAATGATCTTTCGATGTGCCATGTTCCAAGACCAACCTCAAGAGTACTATTTTTTTCTTCACTCGAAGCGAATTCTACCACCAAAAAGCAAACTGTGCAAGTAGGCCTCATCAGTGCCGCTACTTCGAATTGGAGCAGCATGTGGCTGATTTCATTATAGAAAAGTGCAGTAGCCTTATGACAGTGGGCGTTGAACAGATACAGTTTAAAACGAACAATGTTGATCAGCAGGTGGGTTTCCCATGAACAAAGATCAATGCATCATGTGGGTGAGTGCAAGATACTGCAGTTTGAGACATTCTGTGAAAAATGAATGAGCTTGTTCACACCTCAGCCGGCCTCTCGTTACTTTAGCGGTCTTCTTTTTGTGCTGGACGCAACAAAAAGTTACTTCTTGTATCACTTTCATAAGATTTTTTTTTTTTTTTTTTTCAGGGCAGTATGAAAAGTCACCCATCGTGTTACGATCACGGTTGTGTTACAATCGAGTGAATTGTGCCCATCATGATTGTTCTGCCTCTGGACCCTTACTGAAGTTGGGAGTGGACATTTAGTGTAAGAGCAGGAATATAGCAACAAATAGGACTGTATAAACAAGATATCACTTACCTCTTTTAATGGCAGGCTGGAAAGGTTCTCATTGTATGCACCATGCTTCTGCACCAAAGAATAGCAAAGAGGAAAGCGTGAACTGTCATGCCATACATGATTTGGTGGATATCGAATAAATAAAAAGGTCAAATAGTCGACATTTCGTGAGAGCACTTTGCACTTAGCTTTGGTAATTATTCTTTGTTGCAAGATAAGTTTTATAGTCAAAACTGTTAATAATCATAAAACATTATGGTTACATTAAGTCAACAGCACATGTAAACTGAAAAAATACTTCCAGAGTGTACTTATGACATAAATACAAGTATATTATCATGATAGCATACAATATTTAGCAGTGCATTATTGCTCTTTTTAGTAAGTAATGTAATCCAGCAGATAGTTCAACCGATCTCATCAAGTCCTGTAAAACTTGAGTTAACAAAAAGTTATCCACAAACCACAGCAAAAACAGATGAAATAACCAAAGGAATCTATAATACTGGCCTAAAAATGTGGTGCAGACTGAAAGAAGTCATATTGATACCTCCAGAATACACATGACACAAAGACACTTTGATGACTGCTTGCAAAATGTTCACCGCTGCTGGCTCCTTCACTTGTTAAAAGTAGACTGACCTAGAATATGGAGGAGTGTCCAAAGCGCCGCGCCAATACATAGGAGGAGTGAAGACCTTTTGTGGTGAAATTCCGCGCAACGGCGCTGTCATGCCAGACCCGTGGGCTTTTCCCGCGATGGAAGCAATGGCAAAGCGTCGGGCGTCTGCTACACGCCTGATATTTTTGCGGCTGTTAGCCAACATTGCGATAATTTTGGCGATATTGAATACTATGTCCCACCAACGTAATACTTCAATGACTCACCGCACTTCGAACGTGTTTGTGTGGTGCGAAAGGAAGGTCTGGTTTGTTTACGTCTAGCTGGTATATCCCCGCAATAGTACACACATACTTGGCCATCTGAGGAACACTTTCTGGAAGCTTTTTATCATAAATGAAGGGGGCCTAATTTAGTTACGTGTGGAATGACAAATGTAGATGTGCTACAGAATATTAAAAGATAGAAATCGTATAAATAATCACTAGAACGTAGCAGGTGTGTGCACAGTAAATGGCTAGCTCATGCTAATGCGTCTTTTATTTTGTGCGTTGGATTCCTTTTCTAAGTCTTCCTATTGCCCTATCCTGTTTTCTCGAATAGTTGAGAGCCTTAAGTAATTCATATGAAGCGATATGCGCCCGTCGGTGTGGGCGCGGTACTAAAAAAAAAACCTTAGGTAATTGGCATAACTCACGTCTCCTCCAATTGGTTTATGATCGGCACCATAGTATGACTAACATGACTAATTGGCGACGAGATCAATAACTAGACATCTTTACCTTTTATGCCACCATTATTAATAACAACTTGCAAAGTCCTTAATTGTGCTGTCGTCTCGGACAGCTCTATGGAAAATGCACGTTGTTCTTCAGTCGATAAATTTAATTTGCCTCCTCCCCCTTCCCCCGAGAGTTTTTTGCACCTCACTTTGTTTTGCACAACATTCATGATTGCTTGGCCGATCACGGAGACAGTGCAAAGCGATGATGCCATAACGAGGCGACATGATGGAGTCCGCAAACTTTGGCATCGTTTATGTCATAGTGACATGTCAGAGTTTACGTCATCACATGATAATTTTTTGTATCACTCGTACACACAGGCGTGCTCGCGGGGGAGGGGTGCCTTCCTAGTCTCCTATAAGGCGAGGGTGGGGGGTGCAAAGTGATCACCAGCATATATTGACAATCTATGGAGGGGGTGCTTGCGACACGTAGGTGGCGAGTTCAAAGTCAGCCCTAAACGTTGACATAATAGGTATGGGGGCACGCTGTGATGAATCTTCCCCCCCCCCTCCCTCTAACGGGGAACCATGTAACCGTGTGTGCACACCTATGCTTGTAAGTGCTGTCTCCGCCGAGGTGGGACACCAACGCCAACGGTCAATTTGCATGTTTCATGAAGAATTTAAGGATTTCATCTTAAAATATGACGTGTGGTCTGATTTATCTCTACCGGATGAAGGAAACGTGGCCATCACCTATGTCTTTTGCAACATACCAAAGATTTTCAAGAAGTGAGTGCATTTGTAAAATTTGTACAAAAAAAAATTAGGTATGCAAAGAAACAAGACAAATCAAATAAATGAACTTCATGTTACGAGCGAATGTCAGGCAACAAGCGTACGCGGGGCATTAAAAACTGACGCGGCTTTCGCCGTGTGTTAGAAAAGCGTAACACTCTGCAAATTTCAACGCATAAATAAATTTAGAGATTTATTTCGTATACTCGATGTTTCAGGCTTCGTAAACATACATTGCTATCAATAATTAAATAGTTGGAGTTATGAAAACAGATTACTAATAACAAGATAATATTCTTTTCATGTTTTACCTCCTTCGAAAGTTTTATGCTGATGCGATTTCTATATACAAGGACGATCCCGACGCATAAGTGACCCCAGATCGCACCGAAACATACAGTTGCTATACCTGTTCAAAATATATGTTATTGCATGGAACAATTTTGTCAGGCTAGGGCATATGGGAAATACGTATTTCAACATTTTCCTAAAGTGACGGAACATCTTTGCAACTATACTTGCTCGACGTATTTTGTTCCAGTAAGTTAATTTGCACAGCGAGAGTGCTGCTGTTTGTATCTTTAATTTAACGTTGTGTGAATATAACATTGTGTGGATTTCTATATTACGTATTTATTGTATAAACATGGAATAAAATGTGTTATTCTGGCACTGGTCTTTTTTCCAATGTCTGAATTGAAAACAAGCTTGATGCATGACAAAAGTAGGTTGCTGTACGCTTGGTCTAAAATGAAATAAGTTAAATATATTTGGGTGATATGACCGTGTTCTCTTCTAGCGGTTCTCTGTTCTTAAAAAGTAGTAAAGGCTAGCAAGTTATATATTAGAACGTGTGTGTGTGGCTGTGAACCACCGGCGACCATGACTAAAAGGCCCGTAATGGTGAGCCAAGCCGTCACTGCAGGCAAGTATTTCAGCTGACTGAAAAAGTAATTTATTTTATTCATTACTCGTATTACTAGCAAGCATCATGTTATTACTTGCTTGCCCATGCGATTCAGGTTGTTTTCGTTCTTTCATTTCATGTTATGCGTTTTTGCGCAAGCACAGTTACCAAACTAGCTTACTCGAACTCTAGCACCAGAACATGACCACTTTGATGTCGTTTCAAAGATCAGTTTTTGCGTTCCCTTGCTGCCCCAGGCACTAAAATACTCTTAACGATGGGCGAGCTCCATTCCACATCTCATAATTAAAGTTGAGGGTACTTCAAGTGCCCCTGCATGCAAATACAGCATAAAAACTACCGCGCGTAGCAATGGAACTATTGCCTCTATAATGCTTGGTTTTGGGCTTGTATTCTGCCCCTATGTTCACCTTTCAGTAAACGGAACTCCTGTTAAATGGAACATATTTTCTCCGTCCCTTCAGGTTCCATTTACTGAGAGTCTAGTGTACTAAAGAATCATTGAGCCATAGGCCCAAGTATCATACCACTGGCTGATTTGAGCATGGCAAGCTTGGGAGTTACTGAGGCAACCGTAGGAGGCCACAACATGTCAGCACGCAATCGCACCGAGAAGCATATGTTCAAAGAAGAACACCAAAAATAGAGACAGTGCTCAAGGTCACGAGGCGTGCATGATGTACCTTCTTCCTTCGAGCCATCCTTCCCTGCTTAGCTTCAAGTGCTGTGGTCAAGACGAGAGAAGAAAGAAAGCAATTGCAACAAATCTTTGCAAATATGCTCGTACATTTAGATAGATTCTTAAGGAATGGTTACTTAGGCAAGTGTTGCAGCGCCCCTTCAATGCAACCTATGGACAAACAGCTGCCTCATGCATCACATCATGTGTTTTCCAAGGAGAGAGGCTTTAAAGGGTCCCACTGTAGAGAGGTAAATTTGCTGTTGAATGAAAAAGGTTGAAGCTAAAAAGTGAAACATAGTGACCATTAATTGAAGATGGTAGCTATAACCAATGAGAAGCTGAGTGCAGAGCCAATTACAAAACCCAGACATCGGGCATGATATTGTATAGTGTCAATGGCAATGACAGAAAGATACTGATGTAAATACCGTATTTACTCGCGTAATGATCGCACCCCTAAATTTTGTCGTCTAAATTCGACTTTTTTTTCCCCCCGCGTAATGATCGCACCCTGAACTTGCAGCATCGACATGTCATGTGCCTAGTCTAGCTGAACGCGCCTATCATTGTTTCTGTAATCTGAAATCGGGCATCACTATGCTAATGCCCTAAATTCACTGATTTAAATGAAAACATTCCTTTTTTAGATGGAAGAAACTCTTTTGACTCGCATGACGTACTCAAACCTCCATAACTAACGCAAAGAAGAAAAAAAATGCGGTGGCTTCGATCTACGGGGTGCTTCGCTCCGTCAGACGCCATGCTTGTTTTGACATCCCGCACTGTTACAGCGGCGGCCGCCTGTTGGTCGACCTGTGTTCATCCCGCAGCAATGGTTTTTTTTTTCCTGAGACCACGTTTTTTTTTGTGTGTGTGCTTTGTGGTCGTCTGTTGAAGCGCAGTTTCACCATGGGGCGAGTATGCGAGCTTTACTGCCGCATTCTCCACAGCCTTTCTTACGAAACTCGTTCAGTCCACCACATTACAAGGAAGAAGAGCGAGCACCAAAAAGAATTTTCAAAACATACTGCACCATAGAAGTGTGGCAGTTTAGGCTAGTTGGTATGACACGGCGATAGTTATAGCGCGAGAACAGAACGACAACAAAGAGACAAGAAGGACATGAGACATCGTCGAAGCCGCGCAGATGGCGCGCGAACAGGTGTCATATATTAGCAAGCTATCCGTGTCTTTGTCCGAGAAGGAACTAAGGTTCCTCGAAGGTTTCGGTGCACGCAAGTAGTTATATTACTTTTCTGTTTCGTTTCCTTATAGACTTTTTCTTTGCCTTTTCCTGTGCTTTTGTTTTTTCCCCTTACTCATGTATTGCTCTTTGTGTCACATGGTTTCTGTTACATGATCTACTGTCCCCTCTATATGTTTTCGCGCTCTGCGCACTAATGACGATAGTTATAGCGCGAGAACAGAACGACGACACAGAGACAAGAAGGACACAAAGAACACGAAGCTGGGTCCCTTCTTGTCTCTGTATCGTCATTCTGTTCTCGCGCTATAACTATCGTCATGCCATACTAACTAGCCCAAGCTGCCACACTTCCGCACACTAAATTCAGTTGGAAGTTAGTGCTCGTGTCCTTGTCTCTTTGTCGTCGTTGTGTTCTCACGCTATAACTATCATCATACTACACCAATTTCAAGCCCCATTGTAAGCTTACAGGTGTAGGGAGACGTGAGAAAAACAAAAGAAATGAAATACAGTCCTGCAGACCACTCGCCTTTATCCAGCTCAGTCTTCGCCACTCGTAGCCCGGGCGCATAAAAAAAAAAAAACAGGCACTCTTGTCGGCGACCCTTGCCGATGAGTAAAAAAAACAGCAAAAAACAAGAATGTTGGAGGAAAAAGGTAACGATATGGGGGAGGAGAGCTCGATAAGAGAGATGAGGATAGAAGAGACAGTGAGAGGGGAAAACGGTCATACTAAAAAAACAGAAAAATGTAAAAAAGTTCTGGCTTGCGAAAAGAGAGGTGCTGCTTAATCGTGACCAGCGGCTTAAAAACAGCCATGCTATTAGGTTCTATGAACCCTTGCGGAAGCATGGTTCAGCTTAGCTCCTTAAGGGAGAGGGGAAAGTGGACGAAGAAAGGAAAGGTAGAGAAAGTGTGTGGTGAGGTGTGGGCATAAGCATGGGCAGTTCCCCTTCCGGGTACAGGTGGGGTAGAGTGGAGGTCTGTGGCAGCGTCGCATCCCCTCCTTATGCACCGGAGTCGCCGCACCCCTCTTTATCATGTCATTATCATGTCAATGTAAAAGGCTGACTATGTGCTCCCCCCCCAACAGCGGCACCGCCCCCGCTCACATAACTAAGCGCCTGGGTGCATCCGTACAATGGAATAGCCACAGAGGGCCGCGCATTCCTTCGTGCGTCCCCGTTTGCAAACGCGCGCTCACCCAGCCACGTCCTTCCTTACTCTCCTTTTTTTCTCTCTGCGCTGCGGCACCAGAAATGCAAAATATGCAGCCCGCGTGGAAATGCGAACTACATCCTAGTCGACATTCTCGGAAAACACTAGCGCGAAATGAGGAGGAGGTGGGGTCTCTCTTGTACGCCACAATCTCCTCTGGCGTGTAATACCAAACCTAAGCATTCGGCAGTTGTCTGTCTGGCACGAAAACTAGTGCCGTGACGGGGGCGTTTCACTGCTCTGTGAATCGTTGGCTGCCCACTTCCTACATCGGGAAACCAGGAATTTCGACAGTCAGTTGAACAGCGAACGAACCGAAAGGAGTGAAGTGGCACAGCACTGCGAGCAGTCTGACCACCATCACTTCCTGGAAAGCTGGCACATTCAACAGCTCACAGCAAGGTGTCACTGCCCTCCCTGTACTACAATGGAGTTTTGTGACCCCCCCAAAACTGCGCAGCCATGTGCGATTTCGCTGCTCCTTCTCGGCAGGCGGCACGTTCTGGTGCTATCTTTCGCATGTCGAAAACGTACATTGAACCTTGCTACCATCACTCAAAAAAAAAAAGAATCCTTTTTTTCTACATGGCCAGAAAATGCACTGGACGTGCGGGCAAAACTGGTTTTCCGGGAGATTTTCCTATGAGCCGTACAACCGGGAGAAACGTTCAAAATTCAAACTTGGCAGGTATGAAGATGCAAGCTGCACTTGTACAAATGCAGTACAGAATTCGAAATGATGTTATTACAGAATTACACTGAGAAAAATTATAACTTTTCTATCAAATGAAATAGATTTCACTAACTAAAAGAATAGAATATGTTTGTGCGCCATCAGCTACATATAGGTTCGTCGCAGTGCCCCCTTCTCTATCAGGTATGTCAGTGTATGGGGCTGACTTTATGACCCCTCTATCAAGTCGCAGCGTCCCTCCTCCCTATTATGTTAGTGTAGAAGGCAGACTTGGTCTCCCCTCCACCCATGTGCGCGCCTACGACCAAGTTGACATATCTCGTGCAGTTTCAGGCAAAGGTGGCCACGTGTTTAGACAGAGAGGTCAGTATTGTGCGAAAGGGTTGGAAGGGGGAAGTATGAGGTGATGCAGCATGAGAGGTAATATAAGAAAGCTTGCACCGAACACAAGCATCACGGTCGTCAATACATATCACAACTTGAAGAAGCACTTGTGGAGAAGCGCTTTTTGAATATGTGCCCAAGTCACAGATGGTGACAGATGCAAAAACAAAGGAGTCAAGAGTGGACCACGTGGCTGGGGGGGGGGGGGGGGTGCCACCAAAGAAAAAAAAAATCCCAAGGCGTAAAAGGAGTGGAGGGTGGGGGGGGCGAGTATGCCATCATCGTAGTTCCACACAACAGATACCAATGGCAACGAACCACGATTACGCAAAGAATAGAGGCAAACTTCGGAGCAACACAGTCAATAAGGACAGAGTAGTAGCAGGCATGTAGCTTATAAATGTTCCCTGCTTGTAATCAGCCAAGCCATTCTATTGCCACCTCGCCATGAACTGCGGAAAGCGCGAGCCCGCATCCAGAAGAAACAAGCAAGGAAGTCGTTTTTGGGACAGCGCGTGCTCTCGCCAAGGCTTTCTGATTGTGTGACGTCACTGACCTGCGTCTGTGTGAGTACGCGGTATTCCTTACCCGAAGTACCTCCTTTTCACATGCGACAACTGGTGGAGTCGCTGGGTATTCCCAGCCAATAATCCGAACGCTTCCTGGTAACCCTGTACCTGTAGTCACAACACCTGTCCACCGGGCCAGTCGGAGAATCCGAGGATTGTCCCCCGAGCGTGAACCTCTGCCGGAGATGACGTCAACTGCACCACCCCAGAGCGGAACGGAAAGTACTCCGATGGCTAATTACACACTGGAGAAGCCACAAGTGCCCAAGGTGTTCTGCGGCTCCATGTTGGAGGATGTCGTAGACTGGTTGGCTAACTTTGAACGCGTTGCTGCTTTCAACGAGTGGACTGACACCAACATGCTGCGGAAGTTATACTTCAACCTTGAGGATGGAGCTCGTACTTGGTACAAGCACCACAAACCCTTCTCGTCATGGACAGTGTTTTGCCATCAGCTGCTGGAAAGTACGCCGACCCCCATCGCAGTGAACGAGCAGAGCGGGTTATTTAGTCCGGCATTCAAATACCGAACGAAAGCGTGATGACGTACCTGGGGGACATGACTAGCCTTTTCCGTCGCAACGACGCAGGTATGGCAGAAGACAAGAAGTGCTACCACTGTGGCAAAGCCGGACATGTATACCGCGAATGGCAGTATTGCCGCCTCGGACTTCAGGGTTTCGTCAACTCGACCAGGCCAAGATTTGGCGAAAGACCCAGAGCGATCGAGGAATACCTGTCGGAGCAGTGCACGCCACTGCTCCCGCAACGCCAGTCACGATCACCATCTCCAAGAAGGTCTTCGTCAATTGTCTTGAACTACCCAGGGGCTACTGTTCTTAAGGGTCTGAAGTGGAACACTTGTCTAGTTTACCTCGATGATGTCGTCGTATTTCCGGTCACCTTCAAGGAACACTTGAAGCGTCTGCAGGCTGTTCTGGAAGCACTCCGCTCTGCGAACCTCACGCTGAAGCCAGAAAAAATGCCACTTCGGCCATGATAACTTAAATTTCTGGGCCATGTTGTGAGCGCAGACTGTGTTCGACGTAACCCTGACAAGATAACGGTCGTAGCTTCCTTTCCCGATTCCCGTGACAAGAAAGCAGTTTGTCGCTTCCTCGGCCTGTGCGCCAGCTATCGTCGCTTCATCATTAATTTTTCTAGAATTGCCGAGCCTCTGATTCGTCTTACATGTCATGACGTACCATTCGTTTGGAATGAAGAACAGAACGCAGGTTTTATCGATCTACGTGAGCCTATGCAGGCACCACCAGTTGTTGCGCACTTCGACGAGGATGCTGCCACCGAAGTTCATACCGACGCGAGCAATGTAGGTCTCGGCGCCGTGCTTGTCCAACATCAAAAAGGCACCAAGCGCGTGATAGCATATGCCAGCCGTACCCTGTCTCGCGCCGAGTTGAACTATTTCACCTCGGAGAAAGAGTGCCTAGCAGTAGTGTGAGCCATCATGAAATTCAGGCCTTACCTCTACGGTCGTCACTTCAAAGTAGTCACTGATCATCACTCATTGTGCTGGTTAGCCAATTTACGAGACTCGTCTGAGCGTCTAGCACGATGGTGTCTTCGTTTGCGAGAATTTGACCTTACCATTGTCTATAAATCAGGCTGCAAGCACGAAGATGCTGACTCCTTGTCCCGTGCATCTACTTGAGTTTGTGATCCCGACAATAAAGATGACAGCGGCTTCCTCGGAGTCCTCACTGCAACAGACTTGATAGCATGACAACACAATGACGTCAAGATTCGCGCAATCATTGACCAACTAAAAAGACGCAACACACCCGTACCTCGACACCTTGCTCGCAATCTCTCTTCGAACTGCCTACGGAACGGTGTATTGTATAAAACAAACTCGAACGACAATGGGAAAGCCTACCTGCTAGTGGTACCTTCTGATATGCGAGACGACATTCTTCTGGCCTGCCATGACGAGCCCACATTCGGTTGTCTAGGTTTTTCATAAACTCTCACCAGAGTTCAATAGGCGTACTACTGGGCGAAACTTGCTACGTACGTTAAGCGATATGTGAAAAGCTGCCGTGAATGTCAATGCCGCAAATCTCCCCCACTGAAGCCTGCAGGCCTGCTACAACCAGTCACACCACCAAGGGCGCCGTTCGATCAAATAGGAATGGATTTACTGGGGCCATTTCCTCTGTCATCTGCCGCTAACAAGTGGATAGTTGTAGAGACAGATTATCTCATGAGATACGCCGAGACAAGAGCCCTGCAACGAGCTACAGCTTCTGATGTTGCCAAGTTTTTCATCGACCAGATCGCTCTTCGCCATGGCGCCCCGTCTAGCCTGATCACTGATCGCGGAACCGCTTTCACAGCTCAGCTCACTGACAATGTATTCAAAATAAGCTTCACGAACCATCGCAAGACGACTGCGTATCATCCGCAGACTAACGGCCTGACGGAGCGCTTAACAAGACCATCGCCGATATGTTATCCATGTATGTGGACGTTCAGCACAAGACATGGGATCAGGTCCTCCCATACATAACATTCGCGTACAACACTGCCATCCAAGAAACGACACGATTCACACCGCTCCGTCTCGTCTACGGGCGTGAAGTCCAGACCATGCTAGACACTATGTCGCCATACGATTACAACGGGTCGCTCACACCTGACAAGAGCAGGTTGCTCAGTACGCCGAAGAAGCTCGACAGTTGGCACGCCTGCATATCACGCAACAAGAAACTGCAGATGCGCGTCGCTGAAATCTTCGCCATCGACAGGTCAAATACCACCCAGGGGATCTAGTTTGGGTATGGACTCCAGTTCGCCGCCAAGGGTTGTCCGAAAAGCACCTGAGTCGCTACTTTGGACCCAACAAAGTAGTGCATCGCGTAAGTGACATGAACTATGAGGTGGTCCCAGACGGAACCATGTCGCCCAGCGTCGAAAGCACTACCCAGAATTGTTCACGTTGTACGGCTTAAGCAGTACTTCATGCGTTAGTGAGACTATGCTTTGGCCTTGTGTTTTTGTTGTTGTTTCTTCAGTGTGCCCACAATGTGCACGTTTGGTTTACTTCCGCTTATGCACTACCATTCGCGTGAGCATCGGGGCGATGGTTTTTTTTTTTTTTTTTTCCAGTGGGGGAATGATGCCACCTGGCCATGAACTGCGGCGAGTGCGAGCCCGCATCCAGCAGAAATAAACGAGGAAGTCGTTTTTGAGACAGCACGTGTTCTCGCCGAGGCTTTATGGTTGTGTCGCGTCACTGACCTGCGTCTGTGCGACTTTGCGATATTCCTTACCCGAAGTCCTTCTTTTTCACACGCGACACTATAAAGACTGCTTTATGAATAAATTCGATACTTTTTGAAGTTTGAAAAACAGCACGCAGACGAAAGCGTGTTCTATTTTTGGAAAAAGACGTAATACCAACATTCCATTTCGGGGTCGCGAAAATGTGGAACGATTCCCGAGTCATTTCTATTCTAGAGTGGCAACTTCGCAACACTGCACCCCTGACAGTCCTGCTATGGTTTCTAGGAAAAAACTGAAAGCAGCCATGACATTTATCAGCTTTCAGTATTAGCTATCTAAGCTCCTCCAAGATAACACTTACCCAGCCTGTAAATAGAAATGGGTCCAGAGCAACAGTGCATAAATTCTGGCATCTTCAAACCTAGAGCAACAGTGCATAAATTCTGGCATCTTCAAACCTTGAATTACCCAGTAGTGGAACCAAGGCCAAATCTTCTTTCTGCAGCAATTGAACCAACATGATATCACAACTGAAATGAGTGACACAGAACGCAACATGCTATGGTATATTGACAGCAGCACTTTTCCGCATCGTTTAATCCTTTCTGCTCATAAAATTTGGGAGTGCATTAAAGCAAAGAGTGAAATTTTTGAATTTAAGGTTTTAGCTATATGTGTGTACAATAAAATAGAGGTCCTAACAAAATTTGTTCAGTACATATGTTTGTCTATGATCTAAATTTTTTATACATTTGAGTGCCTCTGTGAAATGAGCTGGATAATGAAGAACTCTGCATGTCTTCGCCAAATTATTCTTTGACAAGTATTGTAAACCAAGAGAGTGAATACCACTAACATGAATTTGCCAAGCACCAATGACATGCAGGCCTCTTTTCACAGATGATTTAGTGCTTATGTGCATAGCAGTGTCACCGCTGCTATCGGTAACACATCATTGGGCTGTGGTGCACATGAGTGCGTTCCTGAAGTAACAAAAGCAGCAGAGAGGAGATAAATCTTGACAGAAACTTTTGGCTACGAGGTCAAGCTAAGTTAATGCTCGGCAGCCAGTAGCTGAATTATGCTGCTGTAGGTAATTTCTGTGAAAATATGCACAAGTTGCTATGGCAACTGACAATAGGTATGACCTACTTACTTTGTTTTCCTGTTTGTATTTTATTAAGAATATTATTGCCTTTTTTGCACATTATACGGCTGCCAGAATACAATGAGTTTCTTTTTTTTTTTCATAAACGTAGAAATACTGAGAAACATCCAGCATATTTTCTATTACACTTGGCACTCCCTCGAGCCCTTCAGTGAATTTCTTGTAAGTGCGATCTCACCAGATTCCCGGTTGTTGTGGCTGCACTTAATGGGAGTGGAAGGCAAAACTCTACCAAAAGCATGCTGAGCAGCAAAAAATTATCAGAAAAGGGAACCCTCAAGAATGGGGCCTCTCATAGCTACAGTGTTGCCCTAGGATTCTACACTTTAAAAAGAAAGCATTTGTATTTGCCTAAAAGTAAGCAATGGAAAATCAGAAGAAGAAAAAAAAGAGTGATTGTTATATGCCACTAACTAAAAAGCATCATTACTATGACAGGCAGAAACAAAGAAAAACTGGCGTACTGCTATATGCTTTCAGAATAAAGCACTAAAACACATATAGTTATACAGGCATAGACTACAACAAACAAGAATCTGTGCCCTGAGTGCCATAAAGAAGTCCTTACTCAAGTTAAGGCAAGCTTTGATAATTTTAAAATCTTGTACTCTGCTCGTAGGTTCTGCCATGCCATAGTCAATTTTCATCTTTTGAAGGACCAAGAAAGCAGTCAACAAATGCTCTACAACAAATCCAGAACTAAACATTCCTGACTAAAGTTTCACCATAGATAGCTTGCTGCTCATCCCGCTGATCATTCACTAAATCTGATTGTAGCAGCCTAAGTACTAATTATGAGATAAGACATACAATGGGCTTTCTGATCAATGGTGTCACAAAGAGTTCGTACACAAATGCACTGGCAGTGCAACAATACAATGCAGAGTAAAGAATACTATACAGAAGTGAACATTTTGTAACTTAGAGGTTAGCCATATTGTATAACAGCTTTATTTATATAGCAAAATACACAATTCTACCTTTCCTAGGCACTTGTGATGCTAGTGACAATAGTAATGGTTTTCTTTATGTTGATTTGTAAGCTATTCTACTTTCCTCACTGGAAATCATCAATAGAAAAGGCAGGTCTACAGCAGCCTTTCATTTATAGGAGGTATTCAGATTACATCATCCACAAGGAGCACTAGTGCAGCATCTGCCATAGCAGTGGTCGCACACGTGGTAGTCATCACATGACTACAAGTAATGTGCTTGGCCCCACATGTTTCGATTTTTTTCGTATCTATCACACTGTCGTATGCCAGATTGCTGAACGACCACGGACATGTTGGCCAGACATAGGCACAAACTGGCACCACCAGCCATGCAGAGATCAGTGAATACCTCCTATTTATACCTTTGCATTTTTACTTCAACTTTTTTCATTAAATGTTAAATACTTAGTTCCCGATTCTTTATCATGCAATGCTAGTGCTTTGGGATGGTAACCATCAACTGCAATTCTTTCAAAATGAAGCTTTGACATCATATAATAATAGTATTATTGCTATCATTATTATTATATATTGCAGTTTAATGTCACAAAACTATAATATTATTATGAGGGACGTCTTAGTGGAGGGCTCCGGAAATTTCAACCCAGTGGCATCCTTTAATGCGCACCTAAGTCCAAGTTCAGGAACGTCAAGAATTTTCGCCTCTATTGCAAATACACCTGCCATGGCTGCGGTTCAATCCTGTGACCTGAGAGTCAGCAGCAGAGCGCTATAACCACTACACCACCGTAGTTGATTTTTTCACATCATATGCTAAGGGTGTATTCACTGGTAAGCCTTTTTGTGACACCATCCAACTTTTGAATGTAGTCAAACATATCTATCACTTGCCATAAACGGCCAAGTCGGAAGCTGTGTCCTTTGTGAACCCTGCTTTTGAGTGCGACCAAACGAAGATGCCCAGCACTGACCTGGCCTTGTGATGCAGAAGCCTTCACGCTGTTACTTTGCATAGCTGCTGGCCCATCAACTTGAAGACTGTTGGTGCTGTACCAGGAAAAGCCGGGCATGTCAGGCCCACAGGGTCATTGAGTTTGCTGTCCAATTGCAGCGAAGATCTCTGTGTAGCTGGCCCAGCTTACCTTTCTTGCATGTCAGAAAAGAGACTTTATGAGTGGTGAGAACAAATTTTAGGTGCAGTTTGGTGGGGAGCATAATATTTCAAGGAATGCTTGTCTTAAAACTATTATGAACCTTTTGATAAAGCTCCATCAATTAAGCATCATTTGTTTAAGAGCGATGTTCAAGTTTCAGGCGCCATTATATATTAAATAACAAACAGTGCCTGCAGAGACAGAGGTGTGACAACAGTCAATCTGGCCATGTCGTCGTCATTTTATTGAGAGATGGACCCCAAAGAGGAATGGTGGCTTCCACCTCTCAATCTCGGCCGGGCAGCTTTCACCCAACTAATAGTGTGAGTGTTCGGTACTCCCACTCGGTGCAAGTTAGCTGAGGCTGGCTATATATGACTACCACACCGCTACAGCGACCCAAGCTACAAAAACCCACCTTTGCTCAAGCAAGGGCTAGCTCTTATCTTTCTCCCTCTTTTTTTTACTTCTAGGTCCCGATATTCTATAAACCATTTTAAGCACCCACTTCTGACAGACATGCCCAGGAGATGACAGCTGTTCCTGTGAACAATTTGGTGGTGTCATAATTTCTTCTATATTTACTGTCCTGCACAAGTAGAACATTTAAATTGGTAACAAATGATTCAAGCCACAATACACAAAGTGACAAGCTGTGATAATGGAAGCGACACAATGGCACCTGTTACACACTAACATTGAAACAATCTCAGATGTTAAAATGCATGTATTCATATTGTTATGGAAGAGAAAGGAAAACAAAAACTGCACTGCCACACGTCATTGTCAAATGGCAAGATTCAACTGATCATGGAAGAGATTAAGAATAAACTGAAATAGTGGTCTGCTAAGCTAAGCATTTTTCACCGTATCAACAGGCCCTGTCAGGTTTTGCAAAAAAAAAAAAAAACAGCGAAAAATTTCACAAGGGTGTAAGAATGAAGTTGCCACTTTAAGGTAATTATTTATAAAATATAGTCCCAACACATATTGAGGCTTCAATTACCTGCAATAATTAGTTCTCACGCGCACCAAGTAAGATGGGCTTTGATTTATAAGTTGGCTGATTATATGTTAAGGCTCACTTTCTGCTCGAGTTTTCACATGACACAGAGCTTCACGCTTTAACACCGCTCCAAGTAATTCGGCTACATTGGCAACTTGTTCCCTAACACAAAGTAATAAGAAATAACTTCTCTTTTACAAAATGTTAACAGTTCATAATCACAGGAGTTTGTATACGGCTACATTTCCAAACATGCCTTCGGAAACACGATTACTCAAGCATATTATGTGGGCTCGTGGCGAAACTTTAGTGTAACAATCTGCCACAGGATTTAGTATAATAGAATTTGGTACAACCTCTAAGGGCAGGTTTGCCGATGAGTATTCACTCGATCAGCACGTAATAACAATGGCCAAAGGCGAAAGAAGGTGAACAGAGACAGGGCGCTAAGTCTGCGTTGTTCTATTGTCTTAGTTATGTCATGCAGCCCAAGTAAATGAAAACTACAAACAAGCCTACACGAAAACTAACAAATAAAAAAACAAACACTTACAGTGAGCGCAAAGGATCTTCGGTAGCTACGAACCTGCACAAAACTAGAGTGTACTAGACGAGGGGTGCCATTCTAGACATTGTCGAATTCCGCCATGTTGTCAGATTTCACCACTGATCGATGCTAATTGGCCAAGTGAGCTAATACGGCCTCTCTGGTTGAATTAAAATGCCGCCATCACGAAATTTCAGAATAGCCATGCGTATGCCGTGCGGCACGGACTTCCTCCGTGCTATGCGGTTATCACACAAGCCGACTCGTTTTCAGTGTGGCCAGAGTGGCCTCTATTGCTTCTAAGTACGGCATTCAGCAACAAGCTAGCAGTCTGACTCTGACGTACACGTCATCATGTATGAGAATAAATGTTTCTTGCCGGATTTTTTCTTGTCTTTTTTCTCTATGCCCCCAGCTGCCATCAGTTCATTTCATGTTTTCTTGTTATTAAAATTACGGACAGCCATTAGGTGACCAGCTTTCCTAGTGCTTGGTGACAGAAACACACACAAAAAAGGTTTTATAGAAACTGTTGCGCACAGCTCAGCCAAAGAGTAGAAGAGTGGCTACTTGGGCTGGTTGGTATTGCATTTTTGAAATAAATATATACTTCCTTGGTGCGCAAGCAACGTTTTCTGAAAGAAGACTCAGCTCTATATCTTCCTTCTGAAATCAATCTCTGCGCACTAAGAAACTATATTTCTTTCAAAAAGGCTTAGCCAAATGTGGCAGTCTTGCACAGCAATTAAAGATTTAAAACGGAGGGCATGCGGAGCGTACCTTTATCTCATGCGTTTTCTTTTCATCATGTGCTCAACCCCCCGTTAAGATTGGGATGATGGATGTAATCCCGATGGTTCAGATGATCACGACGACACGTTCAAGGATTGGACTGCTTGCTCACTTCCTGGCAAACTTCAGTTTATTCACACACCGACACTTACTTACAAACAAAGGCCGGGGTGGCCACGAAACTGGCCGCACAGTAAGCACTGGCCTGTATTAATATTAACGTTGGCGTTACTTGCTGAGCCCTTCGTTACGCTCCCCACATCGACACCAACTTCTAGATGTAGTAATAACCTTCGATCAGAGTATGCGCTAAGCACGACCTCTGTCCCCCTCAACGTAGCATCAACCTTGGATCAGAGTCTGCGCTAAGCGCGACCGCTGTCCCCGCTTTCCGATCTCGTTCTCGAGCACCAAGCCACCCCTTCTCTCCATTTCTCTTCATTAAATACCTCTCGTCTCATCTGAGACAGCCTCGTGTGACGAACCCCTACGCGATGTTCCACCAATGCAGCAAACAACTCCCCTAAATTTCCTCATAGACGAGTCTCCGCCACTGCGTTCCCACACTTTTCTATCCTCCGAGCATCGGCTGTGAAGAACTCCGTCATTTCGTCGGCGTATAGCTTAAAAGATACTTTCGTGCGACAACCAGCCTGTCTAGATGGCTGGTCGGCTGTTCGGCGTTAGTAGACACGATTCTGCCGTATATCCACACGTATTATTATGTTATCTTGTCGGGAGTGGTATCGCCTATGAATGAGACCTAACCGACGATCAAGTCAAGGAAAATACAGAGGGTGTTAATTTGTAGGAATTAAGATATAAATGTAAATAAAAGAAAGTGGACAAAAAGACAACTTGCCGTTGCCCGCTGGCAGGGATTGAACCTGCAGCCCTCGAATAACACGCACGATGCTCTACCATTCTAACGAAGATATCGCCATTCCCCGAAAGGTACCTAAACGGCTCATTGTTGAAATTAGGATGGTACTAAACCCAGTTTTACGAAGTTTTTTTTTTAAGTAGGTGAATAAAGTGCGATGATTTTTTTTTTCTAATTTGGACACATCTTGTTTCTAGTCTGGCTTGTGCCATAACATTGATTTATCGCGTTACATCTAGCTGCCTTAGCCACGGCGGTAGTTATGCTTGACGAGATTGCACGCCGCACCCATGCACGGAAGACCAGTAACGGAGCCAGCAAAAGGCACACCAAGCTCGTGCCCCCCCCCCCCTTTTCCCGCCCCTCAAAAGACAAGCTTATTGCCCTCAAGTACTTATTTTACTCTAACAGTGAAAAAGAATTGGGATAGGGTAAAAGGAAGCGGCAACGTGCTCCGCGTTATGAAGATGACGAGGTGGATGGCAGCACAGACGACGGTGATCAGCTTACTGTCTGTTCCCTACAAAGTATTTACAAAAATAATAGCTAATAGGATTAAGGCAACATTCAAGTTCGAACCAGAGGACCAAGCAGAATTTTGTACGAATACTACACAATGGACCATATTCATACTATCAATCAGGCAATGGAGATATGCGCAGAATACTACCAACCCCTAAACAATGCTTTCAAAGATTACGAGAAGGCATCTGAGTCAGTCGAGACATTAGCTGTAATGCCAGCACAACGGAATCAGGACAGCGCGAACCGTACATAAACATACTGGAAGAAATCTACAGTGCATCCACCGCCAGCATAGTTTACTTATTTATTTATTAAAAATACCTTACAGGCCTGAAGGCATTGAGTAAGGGGGTGTAATGATGTAAGGCAGGGAGACACGATCTCTCCTATGCTATTCACCGCATATTTACAGGAGGTTTTCAGGGTCCTACATTGGGAAGAGCAAGAGACAAGTGTTAATGAAGAGTATATTAGTCACCTGCGATTTGCTGATGACATTGTCTTGATGAGTAACTCAAGAGACGAATTAAACCTCATGATTACAGAACTGGGCACGGAAAGCAGAATTGTAGGTCTGAAAATTAATATGCACAAAACTAAAGTAATGTGCAACAGTCTCGGCAGAAAACAGCACTTTGCGATAGGTGGAGAGATGCTGAAAGTTGTAAAGAAATATGTCTACTTAAGACATGTAGTAACCGCGCAGCCGAACCTTGAGAGTAATATAACTAGAATGATAGGTACTTGGGGGAATCACATTCGACAAGCATTCTCAGACCATGAATGGTAATTTGCCACTAACCCTCAAGAGGAAAGTATATAAAAGCTACATCTTTCCAGTACTTACAGAGCAGAAGCCTGGAGGCTTACAAAGAGGTTTCAGCTGAAATTTAGGATGACACAGCGAGTGATGGAAAGTAAAATGATCGGTGTAACGTTAAGAGACAAGAAGAGGGCAGAGGGGGTCAGGGAACAAACCGGGGCTAAGGACATGAAATTAAGAAGAATAAGTGGACATGGACCAGGCACGTATTACGTAGTCAGGATAACCGCTGGTCATTAAGGGTAACTGACAGGATTCCCAGAGAAGACAAACGCACGAGGAGGTGATAAAGTTAGGTGGGCTGATAAAATAAAGAAATTCGCAGGTATAACGTGGCAGCAGAAAGCACAGGATCGGGTTGATTGACGGATCATGGGAGAGGCCTTTGCCCTGCAGTGGGCGCGCAGTCAGGCTGATGAAGATGATGATGATTCAATTACATTCTGCAGTCTTTGATTGTTATCTACTGTACGGTGCACTGTTAGAGGGAACACGTGAGTGCGTGGCCGGTGGTCGGTGGAGCGCTAATTGCTGGCGACATTTCTAAATGTGGCCATGCGCATTGGTTCATCAAGGTGCTGCGTGCGCCGTGTCGTCTGCTACTTCTCCACGCATATATACACTCGGCGTGTGCTAGCGAGCCGTCACTTTTCGTGCTTTTCGTTTTCGCACTGTAAATAAACTGATCCCAACTCGGTCTCTCGCTTTTTAAGAACGATAAGCTTTCTCGGGGTACTTCGACGCAAAAATTTTGGTATGTCTGTCTGCCTGTCTGTCCGCCGTAATGACACCCCAAACGGCCCTAAACGATACCCTAAACGGCCAACCCCATCTGCAGCGCCCATCGATGTTGCTCAGGTTTCAGCGTTCATACTTGTGCGATTGTCAATTAAAAAGCAATTATTGCGCATATCTGAGGCACCATAACAACACGTCAGTATTTTGTATGTATGTCTTTATACTAGAGAAGACATACATCAGTGATTGTAAGGACCGTAGTGTTTATCACGCTGCGCTGACAATGCAACGCGATGCTCAAAAAGGCAAGTGTTTCCAATGCTTTGCTAAGACTACACGGTGGTGGCACCTGCCCATCGCTTTGCGTTCTACACCTCATCGCTTCTGAGACAGGCGCGCACGCCTTCCTTCGTTTTCGAAGATAACCGCCAGATAGCGTTCGTGTCTAACATGCCTCTATGTGCTCGTTCGCTTTCGCTGCACGGATCGCGACTCTAACGCAGCGCTTCCAGAATACAATTCACCGATTTTCTCGTGCAGAACATCAAATAAACGTCCTGTTCTTTCTCTCCAGACGCAAGACTATCGTCTTTCGACGACATTTGCAGTGAAACATGCAAATACGGGACCAATTTTTAATAAGCGGATGCTTAATGGTCACAAACGCGAGCTCAGAGTGTTCGCTGCATCTAACTTCAATAGCGTTATCTATTATCAAAAGTGGACAGTTGCAGCGAGCAGAATGTGAAAAGTATGACGGGCTTGCGAAAAACTGCAGCAACAAATAAAGCTATCCATTTTTGTCCTTGCTAGAAATTTGACGAGCAGCAGGTGGACTGAGCTAGATACGAATGAGCTTTACAACCATTTTATGCATACAGGCGAAGAAGTAGCAGACAAATCTGGGATCGCAGTGCCATTACGATTCTACGCGCATGCGCCGCATTTACAAATCTCGCTGCCAGCTAGCGCCACATGGCCCGCCGGCCACGAGCTCACGTGTTCCCTCTAACAGTGGGCCGTACTGTACGTTCTTCGAAGAAAGCATGGCTTTGGCCGCAAAGAAAAATTCATGAAAGATATCTAATCCTTGTTAGCAAATATTCAGTCAGTATTCTTTTTTGTTGTTGTGCACAGGTAGAGAAGGGGAATACAGTATATTATAACCTGACATGACGTGTTGCATACTGATCATATATTCGCTGATAACATGGGAATCTAAGAGGGGAGACGGCAAAAGAAAATATATCACGTATTATGTACACCACTCTTGCACCAGCAGTGGTGGCAGAGTTTAGTTGGTTTGCGGCAAATCGTAAAAGAAGTTGATAGACACCGACATCTGCAAGCTGATGTGCAGCAGGTTGAATTATGTATATACATAAAGGCCAACTCCGGCGATTTTTCGAGGTCAATGGATCTCAATGAAATTTGCTGGGTACGTTCCTTTGCACATTTCCGTCATTTATGCCAAATTACAGGCTTGAG